CATTCTCCGACTTCGAGGAAGCCGCGGCCCAAGCTCATCTAGCTAGGAAGCCTGGCCTCAGGCCCACTGGGACAGGCAAGCTTATGCTAGCTTACAGATGAGGAAACTGGGGCTCTGGGAAAAGCAGTCCCACAGCCAGAAGGTGGAGCTCTGAGCCCCCAGCCCTAACCTGGGGGAACCTCCACCCTCCAACAAGAGTCCCCTCTTCCGGAAGCCTCACTCGTCTCCCTTCCCCCACCAAGCAAGCTGGACAGAAACAGGATATTACACTCGCCCTCTACGGACTCCTCTGCTGAGCCAGGGAAAACCACTTCCTAGCAGGGCAGGGGGCCTAAGCCAGAAAGGACAGGGAGGCTGGGAGATCCACGGCAGGGGGCCTAAGCCAGAAAGGACAGGGAGTCTGGGAGATCCAGAGCAGGAGCACAGCCCCCAGGAGCACAGCCCCCCAGGAGCACAAGACCCCAGCCCCCCAAGAGCCCATCCCTCCAAGAGCACAGGACCCCAGGACCCCAGCCCCCAGGATCCCATCTCCCCAGGAGCCCAGTGCCCAGGAGCACAGACTCCCAAGAGCACAGCCTGGGGGCAGAGCTGCCTCTTCCTCCCAAATTCCCTCCATCTCTTCCTGTTTCTCCTCCCAGTTAGGATCTCTCCAGGCCAGGGAGTCCACCCTGAGAAGGCCCTTTGCTCCTGCATCCTCCCACACTGCTGACCCCTCTGCATGTCCTCCTAGTCCACCCCCTCACCCCCACCCCCGGTGTCCAGTCCCCCTCTATGCATTCGCACCCCACTTCCTGCTTTTAAGTTTATTTATTTCTTCAGCAAGCAAGAGAAAGAGACACCCCACCCCCCAACAAGGTCACAAGGTCTTCACACCCCTATCTGCCCCAGCTTTGGCCAGCCAGATCATAAGCACAAGAGCTGCACCCAGCACGTGGTGGGACAGGGGCGGTGGTGGTGGGGGGGGGCCCTCCAGAAACAAGCCAGGATCTTTCCAGGGATCCAGCGTCAGAAAGGGTTGGATTGGGGCCGGCAGGTGGTGCAGTGGTTAAGGGCACTGGACTCCCACATGGTTGACTTTGGTTCGAGTCCTGACCTGGCAACTTGCTTTTTCACTCCCCCCCACCTTGTTCTGACCTACTCTGGTCAAATTAAAATAAATAAATAAATAAAGTTAAAATTATTTTTAAAAATAAAATAAAGGAAGAGTTGGATTGCCCTGGAATCACCAGCTGGCCCTGCCAGAGCTGTTCCCTTTTATTTTATTTTTTATTTTTTTATTTTTGGAGAGGTTTTCGCTATAGGGTGCATGTGCTCTCCAGAAAAACAGAGAGAGACAGAGAGATAGAAACCGGGAAATCACCCCCCAGCGGGGATGGCCATGCAGCAATCCCTTCTCCATTCTCCTCTTGGGATCTTGGGCACACAAGCGCCCAGCGTGAGTTTAAGCCACCGGGTCCGGGACTTGAACCGCAGTCGACTACATGGGAGAGTCCAGCGACATAGCCATTATGCTAACTGCTGGTCCCCAGAGCTGTTCCCTTTTGACCTCCACTTTCTCAGTTTCAATCTCCTCTCCCAGGCCTTAGTGGACCCTTTATTGGGGACATCTCTCCTCCAACTCCAAGGCACCTCACTGTTCCGAAGGTCCTATCTTGCCTCCAAAGACCCTGTTCCTTGGGGAGGCAGCTTCCCTGTTCTGATCACCTCCCCATTCAGCTCCCTTCCCACTTCCTTGCCAACCCCTAACCTGGGGGACAGGGGTACCCCAAATCCAATGATCAGTCCTTGCCCCAACACCCGCCTTCTGCGCAAATCTTGAGTCCTCTCTCTATTGCCCAAGCCCGCTCCTTGTCCTGAAGTCCTCTTCTCCGGTAAAGACCTACTCACTTGCTCCTCATTCATTTCTAGGACCCACTCGCTACCTCCAAGCCCGCTCTCCTGACTCCAAAGCCTCATTCCCTACAGTTGCCCACGTCGGGCCTCCAGTGTCCAGTCTTTCCTCCTTGGGATGATCAGCAGTGTTCGGCCCGTTTCAATGCCCACCGCCACCTGCAGTGCCAGCTCCTTGTCCCTGCAAACCCCTGCCATGATGAAGAGCTCTCCCCCACCCCGAGTTTGAACGTCTCTGGTTCTTCTCAACGTTCCTGACAGACTCCCCAAGAGCTCTCCTCTTGGGATACCCTCTCCCCACCTCTAATGTCTCTTCGCTACTTTCAAAACGGCGCCTAGCGAGTTGCCTCCGGTTTCAGAAGCCCCCGACGTCTCCCACCCACATGGGACCTACTCCTTGGCACCGGGTCCCCGACGTGCCCTGGAGACCTCGAGCGCCTGGAGACCTCGAGCGCCTGGAGACGCCGGTGCAGCGCCAAAGACGGAATCATGGCCCTGTCCCCGGCTTCCTGGCCTTTTTAAAAATAAAATAAAGGAAGAGTTGGATTGCCCTGGAATCACCAGCTGGCCCTGCCAGAGCTGTTCCCTTTTATTTTATTTTTTATTTTTTTATTTTTGGAGAGGTTTTCGCTATAGGGTGCATGTGCTCTCCAGAAAAACAGAGAGAGACAGAGAGATAGAAACCGGGAAATCACCCCCCAGCGGGGATGGCCATGCAGCAATCCCTTCTCCATTCTCCTCTTGGGATCTTGGGCACACAAGCGCCCAGCGTGAGTTTAAGCCACCGGGTCCGGGACTTGAACCGCAGTCGACTACATGGGAGAGTCCAGCGACATAGCCATTATGCTAACTGCTGGTCCCCAGAGCTGTTCCCTTTTGACCTCCACTTTCTCAGTTTCAATCTCCTCTCCCAGGCCTTAGTGGACCCTTTATTGGGGACATCTCTCCTCCAACTCCAAGGCACCTCACTGTTCCGAAGGTCCTATCTTGCCTCCAAAGACCCTGTTCCTTGGGGAGGCAGCTTCCCTGTTCTGATCACCTCCCCATTCAGCTCCCTTCCCACTTCCTTGCCAACCCCTAACCTGGGGGACAGGGGTACCCCAAATCCAATGATCAGTCCTTGCCCCAACACCCGCCTTCTGCGCAAATCTTGAGTCCTCTCTCTATTGCCCAAGCCCGCTCCTTGTCCTGAAGTCCTCTTCTCCGGTAAAGACCTACTCACTTGCTCCTCATTCATTTCTAGGACCCACTCGCTACCTCCAAGCCCGCTCTCCTGACTCCAAAGCCTCATTCCCTACAGTTGCCCACGTCGGGCCTCCAGTGTCCAGTCTTTCCTCCTTGGGATGATCAGCAGTGTTCGGCCCGTTTCAATGCCCACCGCCACCTGCAGTGCCAGCTCCTTGTCCCTGCAAACCCCTGCCATGATGAAGAGCTCTCCCCCACCCCGAGTTTGAACGTCTCTGGTTCTTCTCAACGTTCCTGACAGACTCCCCAAGAGCTCTCCTCTTGGGATACCCTCTCCCCACCTCTAATGTCTCTTCGCTACTTTCAAAACGGCGCCTAGCGAGTTGCCTCCGGTTTCAGAAGCCCCCGACGTCTCCCACCCACATGGGACCTACTCCTTGGCACCGGGTCCCCGACGTGCCCTGGAGACCTCGAGCGCCTGGAGACCTCGAGCGCCTGGAGACGCCGGTGCAGCGCCAAAGACGGAATCATGGCCCTGTCCCCGGCTTCCTGGCCCTCAATCGGCCCCAATCCCAAGAGCCCGCGCTCGGCCCAAACTATCCGCCGCAGGGCAGGGCTTGTCAGCGCCCGACCTAACCTCGGCCATGTGCAGTGGAACCCCCTCCGCCCGTCCCCACCGTGGGCGCGCCCCCGTTACCATGGCGACCCCCGTCCGGACCCCAGCAGCCCCGGTCCCGCGGCGACAGGGCGGCTCCGGTTCTGTCTGCAGACGGGGGACCCTGGGCTAGAGCGGACTTCCGGCAGAGGGATCAGCCTTCCCTCTCGCGCACAGCCCGCTGGGAATTGTAGTTTCACTGCGGGTGCAGGCAGCAAACCAGGGAGAAGGGTGGCGTGCGCTTCCCAGCATGCGGCGCGACTGTCCTCGTACTGAGCGAGTCAGACCCGCAGAGCATGTTGGGAGTTGTG